GATTTGGCTGATCTGTCTGGCTAGGTGGGTGTCCCCCTCCTTCCTTATCATTCCATGCTTCTCCTTCCTGAAGCTGTGCTCGGTGGGACAGGACAGCCATCTCAGATAGAAGTGTGTAATCTTCAGCCAATAAATAAGGAAGGAAGGTTAGGAACCTGGAGACTGCCCTCGGTTGTGGCTCTCATTGTTGGCAGAGCACCAATCCTGGGAGGGATCATTTTAATCCTACCCAGAGTAAATCTCTCTTAAAAGACATCACTCTCTCCAGCAATAAGGAAGTTCACCAATTTCTAGTGCTCCCATGAACCATCATGAGGAGAAGATAGGATTGCTTCTTTAATCCAGAGCCAACCATTCATGCGTTTAGACAAAAAAGTCATTTTGTGCAAGATTAAAGAAAAGTAATCTGAAGAAAGGTCAGATGTGTTTCATGTTTTTATTGAAGATTCCACATCTCCCCCCATTTGTGTATACGTACCATACACACACCAATGCATTTTAATTTGCCAAGTTAGATTGGATCAGATATAACTGGTTATCTTGTAACCCCTTTCAATTTCTAATGCAACCATTCTGTAAAAGATAATTCCACCCATTCCTGTTTCAATTTCCATAACCTTCAGTTTATTGAAAGAAAGAAATTGCTTTCTATTACCTTATATGTCTTTTCTGGCCCAGTCAGTATCGGCTGTGTGAAATCAATTTCCCTTGTCCCCAGTTTTGTGTAAAGAAATTGTAAAAAAAAAAATACAATATGGGGAAAGTATTTTAAGAAGTTATTTAAGAAGAAAAAGAAACATTTTTATATTATCTGCCTTTGTCCTTTATGAACTTGAAATGTTGTAGTTTTCTAATCAATGTTTTGTCAGCAACAATAGATGAGTAATCACTGTTTATCATGGAAAAGTGCCCTAAAATTGAATGTTTCTGAACATTTTTCTTGCACAATTTAAATTGAAAAAGAAAATTAAAAGTTGTTTTTCTTTTTATTTTTTTTACCTCACTTGTAGGACATACATTCCAAGCTTTTCAACTTTGAAATAAATAATCATAAGTTTTCTTGTAAATTTTAACTATTTCATATGCATTGTATTAAAACTGCCATATCAATTTTAATGTATAGATTTTTGCAGATATTCCGCTATGTATGTAAACTGTTTATCTGTAGTGTATATGTAATATATTTATGCCCAATAAATGTTTTAATTCTTTCTTGATGGCAAGGTTCTTTATATGAAGATTCCTCCGTGAAAATCTTTGCCCCTATAGAGCTCAACTGGAGGATGTGTAAGACTTGCAAACCTCAGAATCTCTAACTAGCAGGATAGCATATTGGGCGTTATAAAGAATTATTTTCTCCATGTAATTGTTATGCCTACACCCTCTCGCAGTTTTATTACAATCACAACTATTGTAATAAATAGTTTGATAAATTTCAGCAGCAAGAATAAGACTTTTCATCACTTTGGGATAGATTATATTTATTATGTTAGTAACAATTGGTGTAACCTATTAGTTGTGTTGATAAATACAGGTAGTCTTTGACTTACAACAGTTTGTTTAGTGACTGTTACAAAAGCAGTGGAGTAAATGACTTATGATCCTTTTTTACATGAACGATCATTGCAGCATCCTCATAGTCATGTGATTATTATTCAAACACTTGGCAACTGACTCATATTTATGACAGTTGCAGTGTCCTGGGGTGTGTGATCATCTTTTGTGACCTTCTGACAAGCAAAGTCAATAGGGAAGCCAGATTCACTTAACAACCATCCATGTTACTAACATAGCATATGCAGTGATTCACTTAACAACTGCGGCAAGAAAGGTCTTAAAATGGAGCAAAACTCCCTTAACAACTGTCTCAGCAACAGAAATTTGGGCTCAGTTGTGGTCGTAAGTTGAGGACTACCTGTATTTATACTATATGGAAATTCTAAACAACTTTCAGACCATTTACTTTTTCCAACAAAAGGAAATATCTATAGCTCGGGATTGAACTGTGGTGTTCTTGGTTTTCGGTCACAATATTATCTGGTTGAGTAATGAAATGTCTGCAAGAAAGCAAGCCATGCTAAGAGAGCACAAAAAGCTCCATGTTTGTATTTAATCATATTGCTTTTTGTATAATGCTGTATATTGTTTGCTTGGATGATTTTTCTTTCTTTGTGTAAACTATTGTTATTTTTTTTTAAATCATCTCTAGAGCAAGAAAAGCTGATCCATTGTAATAATTTCCATTCCTCATCATCCATTTAAAGCAGGGGTCTTCAAACTTTTATGACTTCAACTCTCAGAATTCCTCAGCCAGGCACATTGGCTGAGGAATTCTGGGAATTGAAGTCCACAAGTCATAAAAGGGCCAAGTTTGAAGACCCCTGATTTAAAGTCTATACAAAGCCTTCACCAGACACACAACAGAGACTTGAGAATAAATTCCAGTGTAACATTTGTACAGAAGCAGCCCAAAGTTTAATGTTTTGAAGAGCAGCAAACAAAAGCAAACCACAAATCATATCCAGAATAAATGGAGCACAGTGCTTGTCTTGAACAGTCTCATCTTCTCAAATTTGACACAACCAATTCTTTTGAACAGAAAAATCATAATGATACAATCTGGAGATTAGGCCCATGGATTTTACAGAAAACGGTATGAAAAATAAAGTACCAGGTTTTACAAATACATGAAATACATATACTGGTTCAGATTTCATATTTTAAAGCCCTGAGATCATGAACATAACAGCTGGAAATAAAAGTCACATTGAGTCAATAATTTAAATAGAACCAAATACTTGTATACCTATGTGCTTGGAAGGATTAAATTTTGTGGACCTATCTTGCTTGCTGTATCTGTGCAAACTTAAACACTACAGAGGGTTCTTGACTTACGGCCACAATTAAGATCAGAATTTCCACCGCTAAGCGATGCAATCATAAAGAGAGATGTCACTTCCTTAGTGACAGCATTTCTGGCATTCCCCATTGCTATTAATTGAGCATCGCAGATCGTTTTGCAAGTAATGACCTCTATGAAAGAGATGGGTGTTTTGGAATGTGATAAAAAATAAAAATAAAGTATCCTAATCCAAGCCATTCCAGCTCCAAGCTTTAGGAACTGGTTTCAACTCATTACATTCATCTTTTCCCTTCATCTATGCTCTTTTGGCCTCCTGCCACCCTTTGCTATGCCACCCCAGCAGATCACCACCGTCTTCTTGCACCCACTGCTGATGAGGCATGCCCAGCCTAGCCCTTCACACTGAGAAGCTCCTTCACACCTGAAAGCCCAGCCCACCTCAGAGCACCTATAAGCAGAAGCAAGCAAGCAAGAAGCAACTCCAGATCCGTAGCATATTAGGAAGAGCATCCACAGATCCATGGTGTACCAGCAAGTTCACAACACAAAGGGGCTTCTTGATACAAAAGGTCAGGCCACATTTGCTTTGTCAGCTGAAGGTCATTTTGGTTGGCATGGGTCCAAAAGGACATAGATGGAGGCAATAGGCAGATCGAGGCAAGTTGAAGCACCCCTGGGGGCATTGCAATGGCTGTAACTTTGGACCCGGGTCAAGTCATTTTGTTCATTGATGCTGTAACTGTTTAGTGACTGAACAAATGGTTGTAAGTCAAGGACTATTTGTATACCCTTTTAAATATAAGTTGAATTCAAGGATTTACTGCTTAACTTTTTCCCAAGATTCCCCTTCAAAGGACATCTGGACATATATTAGGACTGTCACATTGGGGTTGTAAAAATCTAGGCAACCATTAGATAGCAGCAAAGACATACAACTCCCCAAACCATGTTGCCATCTAATGGCCACCTGAATTTGTGCAGCTGAGATTAAACTTAGTTTGAACCTCAAAGTAAATGCCTACTCAGAGGCAAATATACTTTCAAGGTGAAGACATGTCTTTGGACAGAAATCTGCATCTAATTATAGGAACTTTATCTCAGAAGGTAGACCCAACTGACAACAAATACCACATTCCATGGTCCCATTAATGAAGTCTTGATGAAATGATTTTGGAGAGACTCATTCTCTTGTGCTTCTGTATAGCATTGATGAGCATAGTATAGTTTGGTTCCACATCTTACCTTAGACACCCTTTTGAAGCTTAGGCTTCTGCTTGCAAAATCATTTTGAGAACAGAAATGTTTAGTCGTGCCAGGTTCTTTTTGAAAAATGAACTTCCAAAATTCACAAAGTATTTCTCAAATAATGTTTGGTAGAGTTGAGCCCATATTGAACAGCAAAAATAATAACTCCGTCCCATTCCTGTTATAAAGCTCTAGCAATTGTACTCCACATTTATAAGGCAGCTTCAGCCCAAACTTTATAAGTTTGAATTGTTGTCATAACTCAACCAAACATCCTATAACTGGGGTGACCCAAATTAACATTGTTATCCTCGATTGCAAACAATTCATCTGGTTTTCTTACCCGTTACAGCATAGATTCTTGATCCTGCCACTGCACACGTACAGTATGTCCAAATAACTTCCACCCACCACATTAATATATAAGCCATTCCCATAGGCATATTCATCAGAGTAATCTGTTGCATGAAGCAGACATCCATATTTTTTTAAAAAAACAAACTAGTAGATGTCTTATTAGGTCAACTTAATTACCGTAAATTTTCAGTGTTTGCTGAAAGCTATTCCACAATGAACCGTAAGTCCATATACTTGTGTTTATTAATCAGGAATACCCATTTACCTGGTTTTTTTTTTAATTGAGCAAGTAGATGTGACTATAAATATAACTAAATGTTGCAGAATTCAACCTGGGTTTGTCACCAGGATCAGAGATTTAGTTTTCCAAGCTTTTGGGCTTGTGTTGGACCCATCCTCAGGGAACTTCTGTGTAGCAGACATTTCACACACTGCTAGACACACACACACACACACACACACACACACACACACACACACACACGTCTGCTAGAGAGAAGTTCCCTGAGGATGGGCTCTAGCATGAGTCCAAAAAGCTTGGAAGACTAAACCTCTGGTCCTGGTGACTAGCCCAGATTGGATCCTGCAACATTATCCTGGGACACATAATTAAATGTACCATCTACCATTCACTTTTTTTTTAAGAATGCAAATGAGCTAGCATTCTCTCTGGTGCTACTTTTTTAAAAAATAGATTTAGTATTCTCTTCCTATGTTAGACTTGAAGGCAGAAGCTCTCTAAAGAAGAGCATTCCAGCAGTTGTATGTAAAATAGATGAGTATATGCTTGCTACAAAATGAAAGTTGTACGTCAACCATCATTTGAATTTCTCAATGTCCCTCTGATAATTGATATGTGCAAAGCTGTGTTTTGGCATTTTCAAAACAAGGCAGAAAGGTTTTTTTAATGTCTGTCAAAGTCCCCTACCACTTCCATTCTGGGCATCTTAGGTTTGAATTACAGTTGACCAGATGTGGCCAGAGCTCAATCACCTATTGATTGGCACAGCTGCTCCTTAGGGCACTACTTTCTCTGTATGCCATGTTACATGTCTTCTAACTGACAGATATTGACCAGAAAAGGATACCTTCTACTGGGTCTCTCTATCTCCAGGACCACCACATTCCTGTCTCTGGACCCCTTTTGCAGAAAGGTTCCTGATCTACTACAACTTGATTGTCCCACTGATGAGGTGGCAAGCAACCCATAGCAGGCTTGTGCATACTGTTCCATAGGGATGAAGGAAACCATCTTTTCTGGCCTCTATCAAGGTCTTTTTGCTTACATAGGAAAGGGAAGTTTCCTTGCTTTTGATGACATTCCTTCCTTTACCCAATACAAAATACATAAAGATCCCACCTGACGGGGAAACCTTTTCAATGAGTTTCTGCATCACAGCTAGTTCCTCCCCATGCTGGGCTGCATAGCATAAAGACAGGCTCTGTTAGTTCACATTTGTGCTTTATAGACATAAGACACCTCAATTTCCATCTTTATGCATAGAATCATAGGCACTGGAAATGATTCAAAAGGATAGCTGTTTCATCCACTGCTGATGAATATATTTACACAGAACATCTGTCATAATATTTCTCACAGCTCTCCATTTTTTTTTTACTCCTTTTCATTACCATACCTGAGTTTTCAATTGCAAGCCCTCCCAATCATGGAAAGAAGGAAATACTTTTTTTTAGCCAACCTGAACACCTTTCCCCTTCTCTAGTGGCTTTACGTGACACCTCAGTCCAACCTCTGCGGTCACATTGCTCTGACTCTGGGCTCTGTCCAGGTCTGGCATCTTCTCTCCTTCATCACCAAAACCTTTTTCTTCCTCGGTGGCTTCCTTCCAAAGAGCCTGTAAGCTGCTTTTCGGTATTTCTTCGACATGATGTTGTACAGGATTGGGTTGATGGCAGCACTTAGGTAGAAGAGAACGAAGGAGACTACATTGCAGTATTGGCTGATAACGGCAATATCCAGGGATTCAACCTCGAAGGATTTGGAAAAGAGATAACGTCCTAGGTAGAAGGGCAGCCAGCAGAGGACAAAAGCCAAAACCACCACCGCTAGTTTAAAAAAGGAGAAAGAGAAAGAGAAATGGCAAGTGCATATGAAAGTGAATTAAAATATTTGCTAAGAGTTCTCCTTTTAATTCAAGTCTCAAGGCACAGAGGAAAGAAAACCAAGCTATATGGGAGATGGGAATCTGGACTATCCATCTTGGAAGAAGAAGTAGGGGAAAAGGAATGCTTCAACTACCGTATATTCAGGCGTATAGGGCAACCCGGCATATAAGATGACCCCCCTAGTTCGACGCCAGGTCGCAAGACGATCGACGCCGAGTCGCATGCCTAGAAAGTCATCTTATATGCCGGAAACTACCGGTATTTCCGGCATATAAGACGATCGACGCCGAGATGCATGCCTAGAAAGTCGTCTTATACGCCGGAAACTACGTTATTTCCGGCGTATAAGACGATCGACGCCGAGTCGCATGCCTAAAAAGTTGTCTTATACACCAGAAACTACCTTATTTCAGGCGTATAAGACGACTCGGCATATAAGACGACCGCCGAGTTCAGAGGCTGTTTCGACGCTCTCAAAAGTCATCTTATACGTCGGAATATACGGTATTCTTCCTGCAACGAATGTCTTCCAGCTGTTCCTTGTTGTTCATCACATCAAGAGAACTGTGACCAGAACAAGAGACCATTGGAGAAAGATGGAAAGAGAAACCAATGTTGGCGTCTCCCTTTCTTCATCTCTCACCCATAAGCCTTGTACAGAACCTACTATTTATTTTGTATGGTTTTATGGCCTTGGGCAGCTGATCATCTCTCAAATTTTTGTCGGCTTTATGCAAAAGATGTCCACTTTATCATTTTCTACTTACACCGTGTCTCCAAAATTTTAAAGTACACAAACTCTCTTTGAATAGATGAGACAGAGGGGCACAAAAGAAGCATGCTGTAATCTACATGTTCACAGATTTGAAATCCTGACTCTTGTTCCTGATACGTTATCAAAACCAATGTTTCATGTCATTCCCCAGCAATATTTCTACTCAAGACCCCAAAAGAACTGACACTACTTGGTTGCTCATTTGCAAGCAAAGCCCTATGATCTAATTGCTCCTCTACCATCATCTCATGTACCAAGCAACTCTGGACAGTCAATGCCTCATTCTTTACAACAACTTCCCCAGGTATCCAAAGAGTATAGGAGGTACCTTGCTCAATAGTAGTAACTGTGAGAGGGACCTTGGAGTCCTAGTGGACAATCACTTAAATATGAGCCAGCAGTGTGCTGCAGCCGCCAAAAAGGCCAAGACAGTGCTAGACTGCATTAACAGAGGGATAGAATCAAGATCACGTGAAGTATTAATACCACTTTACAATGCCTTGGTAAGGCCACACTTGGAATACTGCATCCAGTTTTGGTCACCATGATGTAAAAAAGATGTTGAGATCCTAGAAAGAGTACAGAGAAGAGCAACAAAAATGATTAGGGGACTGGAGGCTAAAGCATACAAGGAAAGGTTGCTGGAATTGGGTATGTCTAGTTTAATGAAGAGAAGGACGAGGGGGGATATGATAGCAGTGTTCCAATATCTCAGGGGTTGACACAAAGAAGAGGGAATCAAGCTATTTTCCAAGGCGCCTGAAGGCAGGACAAGAAGCAACGGATGGAAACTAATCAAGGAGAGAAGCAACCTAGAACTAAGAAGAAACTTCCTGACAGAACAATTAACCAGTGGAACAACCTGCCTCCAGAAGTGGTGAATGCTCCAACACTGGAAGTTTTTAAGAAGAGACTGGACAGCCATTTGTCTAAAATGGTATAGGGCAGTGGTGGCAAACCTGTGGCACGGGTACCAGAGGCGGCACTCAGAGCCCTCTCTGTGGGCACGTGCGCCGTCGCCCCAGTCCTAGGCCTTCAGCTGGGTTTTATAAAACCTTTTCACTTTAGGCCTCCGCCGCCGTGTGCAAAAAAAAAAAAGGTTCAATCAATCAGTCAATTTCAACTTCTTGCGGGGAAAAAAAAGATCTTGCAAAGTTGGAATTGATTGATTGAACTTTTTAGTCCCACCAGTCTGCCATTACCACCGCAGCCATGCCCACCCAATGGGTCACGCCCACCCAATGGGTCACGCCCACCCAGTGGGCCACACCCACCCGGCACCTGACAATGCATAAGTGGGTTTTGTGTTGCAGTTTGGGCACCTGGTCTCTAAAAGGTTCGCCATCACTGGTATAGGGTTTCCTCCCTGAGCAGGGGGTTGGACTAGATGACTTCCAAGGTCCCTTCCAACATTATTATTATTATTATTACTATTATTATTATTATTATACAATAGAAAGAAGAAGCTCATATAGTCCTGGTACATATAAACTGGGTACCTATGGTCAGTGGTGGGATTCAGCCAGTTCTCACCACTTTGGCAGAACCAGTAGCTAATTTTTTGTTGTCCAAGCCCAGAATGGACTTCCAGAAGCAGCATCCACACAGAGAACCGGTTGTTCGCATATTTGAATCCCACCACTGCCTATGGTCCATGGTATACAACCTTTTTTTTTAAAAAAAAAAAAAAATCTCAGTTGCATCTAAGTCTTGTTTATGAATTGACACGCATTAAGTTATTTCACTGATTTCAACTGGATTTGGGACTATTTAGAATCAGATTTAGAAGGGAGATTTAGTAAAGAAAAATAATGTAGGAGTGCAAGTGCATAAAATTATGCAGAGAACGGAGAAAATGAGAAAGGGAAACCTAAATTATCTTCAAGTGCTCAAACACATAATACTGGAAGTCAACGCTCTTGACAAGCAAAAGGTATTATTATTCACCAAGTATAGAATCACCTTGTGTAAGAGTACAGAGAAGAGCAACAAAGATGATTAGGGGACTGGAGGCTAAAACATATAAGGAACAGTTGCTAGAATTGGGTATGTCTAGTTTAACGAAGAGAAGGACAAGGGGGGACATGATAGCAGTATTCCAATATCTCAGGGGCTGCCATAAAGAAGAGGGAATTAAGCTATTTTCCAAGGCACCTGAGGGCAGGACAAGAAGCAATGGGTGGAAACTAATCAAGAGAGAAGCAACCTAGAACTAAGGAGAAACTTCCTGACAGTGAGAACAATTAATCAGTGGAACAGCCTGCCTCCAGAAGCAGTAAATGCTCCAACACTGGAAGTTTTTAAGAAGAGATTGGACAGCCACTTGTCTGAAATGGTGTAGGGTTTCCTGCCCGAGCAGGGGGTTGGACTAGATGACCTTCAAGGTCCCTTCCAACTTTACTACTATTACTATTACTATCATAAGTGAGATCACTAGTGGTTGCCACTCACTGGTGGAAAATAAGTTGAAAGACAGCTACAAGCTAAAGTATCAATATATTACTTCAAGAATCACGGGCAGGATATTGTTGACCACCAGGTTTTTCACAGAAATCTGGTTCCTGTGAAAAGCAGGATACAGACTTCGGTCTGAACTAGGAGGTTGTTCTTATATTCCTCTGAGAAATTAATTTCCCTTGGGGGGGTCCTACCACAGAACATAGGTAAACACAGATGGAATTATTTCTCAGGAAGACCATGGAAGTTTTCAAATGTGTATCTTGTCTGTGGTAGACGTTTCTATGTCAATGCTAATGGGCTTCATAGATCGATGATCTGATAACAATTCCAACCGGAAACAAAAAAGGAGATGATATCGTTTGGGGTACAACTGTGATTTTAGTTACTGAAAATAAAAAGGTGGGTTATAAATCAGGGCAAAGAGTAAGGAGATGATCAACTTTTAGGACTTGCCATGGACCCACATGATTCATTGGTTATAACAGGGGTCTTCAAACTCAACCCTTTTATGATTCATGGACTTCAACTCCCAGAATTCCTCAGCCAGGGTTATAGAAATCAATGTAGTGTAGTGGTTATATTAGGAAGACCCAGATTTAAACCCATCCTCTACATAGACATTTCGTTGAACAATTGAATCACTCTCTCTCTCTCTGCCCAAACAACTCCTATGGATGAGATCTTGATATAAGCTGTCATGAGCAATTGAAATAAAAGCAGGACATAAATCTGGTAAATATGTAAGATATATCCTCAACCCTTTTGTTCCTTGAAGCCATATAAAATACATTAAAGTCATCTTCAAATCAAGCTGGGTTCCTGGTGACTTTCTGGATATAGCCATACCGTTCTTCTACTGACGTAACATTGGAGGGCATATCAGTGGTCTGAAGACATTACCTTTCCTAGTGATGATGGGAATAAGCAATCAAAAAATAAACCTGCCATTTTCTTCACTGTAATATCTCTACCCAACTTGGATATCTCTACCCAAGGCAACTTTTATAGAAAAGCAGCAAGTATTCATCACTCAGTGAACTTTTGGGAGGATAAACAAGTCTTCATCTTTGAGTTCCTTAATTTATTACTCCCTTAATTCCTTAATTTATTACTACAGTCTCACTTTCAACAATGAAGATGTCCTGGGATTTTCTGCCTGAATGCCAAAATAAGTGGGTTATTAACAGAGGAAACATCATTTGCCTGTTGGCCCAAAATGTTTGAAGTCAGCCTTGTGGGAAAAGGGGGTTAAATCTCAAGTAGTGAAAGATCTGCAAAATAAGCCTGATGAGAAATGGCTAAAAGTTTGGTTAGTTTTAGCCTACTAAGAGATTATTGAAGGGAAATATGATGGCAGTCTTTAAAATCTGAAGAGCTGTTCTACAAAAGAAATGGACCTATTCTCCATTTTCCAAAGGGGAAAATCACAACAAATAGGTTAAAACTACAAACAGGCAGTCCTAGTGGACAATCATTTAAATATGAGCCAGCAGTGTGCTGCAGCTGCCAAAAAAGCCAACACAGTGCTAGGCTGCATTAACAGAGGGACAGAATCAAGATCACGTGAAGTATTAATACCACTTTACAATGCCTTGGTAAGGCCACACTTGGAATACTGCATCCAGTTTTGGTCACCATGATGTAAAAAAGATGTTGAGATTCTAGAAAGAGTACAGAGAAGAGCAACAAAGATGATTAGGGGACT